ACCTAATCGCGTCCTTGCTACTAGTAGTAGTGGCCTCCAACCTAGTAGCGATGGCCTCCACCGAATCGCGTCCTTGCTACTAGTAGTAGTGGCCTCCAACCTAGTAGCGATGGCCTCCACCTAATCGCGTCCTTGCTACTAGTAGTGGCCTCCAACCTAGTAGCGATGGCCTCCACCGAATCGCGTCCTTGCTACTAGTAGTAGTGGCCTCCAACCTAAGGTTTGGTTTGATAGAAGTACTTCCCTTTGATGTCGGAGCTTGTTACATATTTAAAAAAGATATGTGAGGTTGAACTCCAGTGAATTCCTTCTGGCCTTCAGGCCATCCACATGAATTGATGCATCGAGTCTTGAGCCGCTAACCCTTAACCGCTCACTTCTCCTTCAACACTTCCGTTTTCAGCTCCCAAGTCCCAAGCGCAACAAATGTATATACAGTAATGTGTTTTTTTCAGCAAAACAAGAAGTCGATGTCTCCAGATTAGTGAGCGGTTTGGCTTGCGACAATCCAAATGTGAGCCTCAGACTTGGGTGCAAATGTATACAGTAGCGTCGTTAGTAATTCGTGGAGTCAAACATTCCTGCTGTACATCATGCTTGAAATGAAGAATCCAGAACGATCCGTTGGAGTGAACCTCCTAAGGTCCTTGGATGTCCCGAGGTGGCCTGTCGCACAGAACTTGCTTGACAAGGCACAAACGATGGCCCCATGTCGCGCGAGGACTGCCATGTATGCTCCTGGGCGCCCAAGAGTTCGACATCTTCCCTTCTACATCTCCAAATAGGAGGTTTTACTCATCAACCGCAGGGGTCCAAAGCAAAGATTCGTGGGATGTTGATATCCCTGAAAGCATCCATGGACGTCTGCAGACCGCCAGACCGCCCAGATCGCCCGAAAGTCTCACAAATATCCAACGGTTCCCCTAAACTGATGGACGACCAGCATCTCAGGAAAACAGAAATCCGCAGGGACCCCAAATGCCCCCGTTGTAGATTGGATGTGATACCTGATCCTACCTGATCCTACC